ATTTGGTTTTAACATCTGAGTTTATATGACCTTAAATACACAATATGCATAGCACAAAAAAACACCCACATAACTGGGGATTTTTTTTTTCCAGGAATATACAGTTCTAGATAGCTGGCATTTTCCCCTTATTATACTAAAAGCTGACATCATCAGGCATTGAGAAGAATAGCCAAGAAATGAGTAAATTACAGCATCGCCGAGGTAATACAAATGATACGGAATGAGTGACATGTGTTTCAAAGGTACTGGTATTTCTGAAGGAAAAAGAATTAGTTAAAAGCAAGAACGAAAAGCAAAGACAGCACCTAGACCAGGTGTTCTCAGTGTTGACTGAAGGTGAGGTGGAAAGAACAGCCTTGTCTACTTGAGAGAGCCGCACGAGTGCCTCAGAAAGAGCCAGAATAAAATGGAGAGAGGAATATCTAGAGAAGAGGTTGAGGATTTAGGGCAATTTACTGACGGCAATCCTTAAGCTCCAGAAACACAGAAAAAAGTTTGTTTCAGTAAATTGCTGTTTGCCCACTTCTCTACAGGGAATGAATACTGTTATCAAATGTGTGTGTATATTCTTAAGGATATTGCTCAGGTTGTTTTCTGAAACATTTCGAATGACAGCCTCTTCAAGTTTTGCGTGTAAGATTGTATAACTGAGTGTTGCTCATTCTCTCTGAATATTTAATCTCTCTGAAATTACTTTGTTTTGTGTAAGGTAACTTACATCCCCTCTTCCCCATAGGAGTGTTATAAATGTACTTCCACGCATAAGCAAGCTGTGCAGAGATAGTTTCACTGAAGCCCCCAGAGGACTCTGGGGTGATGTATACCCACTCCTCACCCCAGAGCTTGAGGCAGAACTGGCTTCACAAACGTATAGCCTGTGCAATCACACAGGGACCTGTGCTCAGAAGGTCTCTGCTTGGTTTATGCTCTGCTGTCTCTGTCTTGAAATTCTTAATCACTTTTGATTAAGGGCCCCTGTCTTTTCATTTACACTGGTCCCACAAATCATATATCCAGTCTCTCCTGACGGTTCTCATCCACGCCAACCCTGCACTTGACAGATGAGGTCCAGACAGAAAAAGTGAATTTCTGCAAGTTATATAGCCAGTTAGTAGAGGAAAAAACAAAAAGAATCAGGACTATAATCTAATCGTCTGAACTATCTAATGTTCTTTTTACAACACTCTATTCCGCTGTCTGCAAAAGTGTTCTGAAAAATAAAATCATTAGACTAAATATTCTACTACCTACAGGGACAATTTTGAGGTGACTAGGATTAATCTGTACATGTACATTTTGGGTTTTTCTTTTTAACTGTTACATTATAGTCATACCACATATTTTATAACTCTTTTCACAGACCTTGGAACCTTTCAGCATCACAAAAAAAAGAAAAAAAAAACCACTCAAGGGCTCTTATAATTAGTACAGCTGAATGTCCAAACAATCTACAAATAGAAATTGACACATGAATTATAAAAACAAGAGATTTTGCCCTCTACATTCTCAAGTATAGGGAACTATACAAAAAAAGAAAAAAATTCAAAACAAAATCTACACAAAAGACATTTATCTTCAGCTTCTAATTCTGCAAGAAATTAAAGGGCAGGCAGCAAACACCGTGTATATTTCAGTATGCCCTGTGAGTTTGTCACAAAGCTATCACACTAGGTTTCCTATAAGGCTTCAAATTATGCTAAACATACCCTGACTAGCTTTTCAATGAGGACATTTCTAAGATCAACTATGGTGTTGAGAAGAAAAACATCCACCAACTGAACAAAACCACATATGGTACACAGCTTAATAAAGTCCTTCTAAACATCCGTATCCAAAACATGACAGAAAGCATACACTTTCCACAGGAAACTAGTGAAGACCCAAAGCAACTGTCAACACCAGTACATTAGTGAACATTCATAAAATGCAGGGAAGAAATTCCACTTGAACAATAAGCCTATCTGGGAATAAAAATCAAGATTACAGTTCACAGAAGGAATTTAATTCATTGTAACTTAAATGCCTTAAATCTAAATGAAACACTCTTTTGCCTGGTTCATACACAGCTAACACAGAGTTAACATAACAAAGCTCATCCTTAGAAATGCCCCAGAAAGTACGAGAAAAGCCGCCAGGTGGCAGAATTTCCTGAGCCTCAACTAGCTGCAGACTGTTACACCAAGAATTGACCAGAAGGTGGCAACATAGCCTCAGTTTCTCAGGACCAACAGCTCAGCCTGATCTAAGTGTAAGGCTTTTCATATACATTTCACACATCTTTTTATACCAGAAAGATTTTGTTTCCTTACATTCTGAATGTTGATCTGTAGTTCCATTTTGTAGTGATTGAAGTCTTTGGCAAGTTCATGGCCCTGATGATAGAAAGTAAACATTCCCTGAAAAAATGACAGCATCTAAGACAAAGGAAAAAAGAAGACATTAGCACAAAAAAAAAAAAAAAAAAAAGAGGGGAAAAAAAAGAAATCATATAAACAGCCAAGTATTTCCTCCTCGCTTAACTGTTATTCTGCTGAAGTAATTAAAAAGAAGTCACTAATATTCGAGTAAATCTAAGTGCATATTATTTACTAATTGGTCTTTATAGAAAACAAAGAAAGTTCTTTTTTCTTAAATATCAGAACTATCAGATAATTTTTTATAGCATGCTCTACAGGAGAAATGGAATTCTTCTCTGTTTTGTTGACAAGGGTGTTCAGTGATGGGGCAGAGGCCGGGCAGTAATTAAACCTTTAGTTTTCTACCAACTCCCAACATGCCCTTTTAATTACAGGGCAGCTGCTTCTGTCCCACAGGTAAGCAAACCTAAAGTGAGTAAAGTGACGTGGGGAGAGAGTTAAGGAAATCCTGAAATTCATTTGTGGTTCTGACATCAAATGGCCAGCCAGAGTCAATTCCCAACCTCAGCAACGGTCTGTTATGTGAATTTGGACAAATTACTGAAAATTTCTCAGCTTGAAATTCCTTATTTGCTAGGTGGAATAATAAAAATATCTCCTTACTGAGTTATTGTGTGGAAAAAAAATGAGTGAGCACATTACATTACAGAACTTAAAACAATGACTTCAGCCATGGCCAAGCATTGTAAATATGCCCAATAAATGTAGGCCATTATTATTTCACACTAAATAAAAAGCTTAAAGGAGGTTTAATTATTCTCTAAATTGTCTAATTTAGATTAATTCCATTACTCCAACTGGGCCATAGCTCCATAATTGCTCTTTTTTAATTGTTCCTTGGTTATTTATTTGTTTCTCAAAATCATACACACATTGGGTAAACTGTATATGAGGGTACTTCAAAAAAATTTTGGAAAATATGAATCCTCCCATGAACTTTCAAAGTATGTAAATTATATTTCAAGCTGTTTTTTTTTAAAAAAACGCAAAAAGGTATACAAATTTAATCTTGAGAATCATGAATTCCAGTTTTTTTCAATTTTTTTTCCTAAAATCCACAGTATGAATATCCCTTACATTTTGATTCAGAAGATACGTATACTTACACATGCGAGATCTTCAAAAAGTTCATGGAAGAATTCATATTATCTTTTAATTCAATTTCTCCACAAATTTTTTGAAGTACCCTCGTATGTGCACCTACATTAACATAAATCACTGAAAGCTTTAGAAAATATCTATATAATCACAAATAAAAATCACGATTCTAATAAGCATAAAGAAATGCCACAGTAACTCACAAAATTGTTTCAAATGTTCCACATACTAGTTCTCAGCTTAGGCTGTGATAAATATTTTGAGATGTGTTAGAAACCATGTTACAAGTACCTGTTTAAAGTACCAAAATTTGAACTGGTAAATTTGCTTTAGAAACAGACATGAGTAGAGATTAACCCATAAACACCACCATTTTAACTCACATTCTAATATAAATTCTTTCACAGGGATTTTTTTAAAGGGTAGAGCTACAACTAAGATGGCAGAAATTGCACCTGATTGTAGTTGCTGAGATTAAGTAACAACACGAGTAATATTCATTACATGTTGCTGTGCAAATAATTTAGAGGCACTGATTTACAGGCAATTCTTTGACTTCGCAGCTGTGTCCAACCTTACAATTTTTTTTTTTTTTTTTTGGACCAGTAAGGGGATCGTAACCCCTGGCTCGGTGTCGTCCGTACCACACTCAGCCAGTGAGCGCACCGGCCATTCCTATATAGGATCCGAACCCGCGGCCTTGGTGCTACCAGCGCCACACTCTCCCTAGTGAACCACAGGGCCGGCCCACACCTTTACAATTTATGGTGTCTTGCTTTATATTTACATGCCACCACCTCTAACAACCATAAATTAAATCTAGGAAGAAAAATATTTCTATTATATCACAAAAATCTACTGGCAAACAACTTGTAATAATACTCACAGGTTCCACAAACTCAAACTTCTTTCTTTCTTGGATTTCCTGAAGCTTACATACATATTCAAGAGACAGTTCATAAAAGTGTTGCCGGTTTTGCTCCACTTGGATATCTGCCTATGTTAAAATAATTGAGGTAAGTCAAACTGGAAATAGTGAGAAGTGAAAATCTATATCAGAGGTTGACAAACTACAGACCATGGGCCAAATATGATGTGCTGCCTGTTTTTGTAAACATAATTGAACACAGTTGTGACCATTTGTTTATGCATCGTCCGTGGCTACTTTCCTACTACAATAGCAGAATTGCGCAGTTGCAACAGACACCTACGGCTCTTTGCAGAAAAAGTTTGCCAACCTCTGCTCTANAGCTACTACTATCCAAAAAAAGGAAGGAAGGAAGGAAGGAAAATAAGTATTGGTGAGGATATGAAGAAACTGGAACACTTGTGCACTATTGGTGAGAATGTAAATTGGTGCAGCTGCTATGGGAACAGTATGGCTGTTCTTCAAAAAAACTTAAAATAGAATTACCATATGATCCAGCAATTTCACTTCTGGATATATACTCAAAAGAACTGAAAGCAGGGACTTGAACAGATATTTGTACACGCACATTCACAGCAGCATTGGGAAGAATCAACCCAAGTATACATCAACAGATGAATGGATAAACAGAATGTGGCATATATATANTGCGCAGTTGCAACAGACACCTACGGCTCTTTGCAGAAAAAGTTTGCCAACCTCTGCTCTATATGTTGAGGGTAACCCCCAAGGTACTGAAGATCACGTAGTTCAGCTCCTCATGAAAAACTCACCCCAGCTGCAAATGACACTCAACCACACACATAGAATCAAAATCACATAAACACCATTTCCATGAACAAACCCTCTCAGGACAAAGTCTTCCTAAGAGACAGGGTTGGGGGAATTCCAGCCATCTCAGCAGCAGTGAGGGACAGCAGCAGGTGAGGAAGTGGCGGCAGTGGCACCAATCTCAAGAACCTCTCAAAGGCACATCAGGGCTGGGAGCCCATCAGCAGGTAGTCCTGCTCCTGAGCCCTCACAGTGTCTGAACCCCTGGGAGTGAAAGGGGCACCAGCTGGACAGGACACTGTTCCAAAAAAAGGTTCCAGCTTATCTTGCCTAACTAGAAAATAACTGGGAGAGGAGCACGATTCCACAAAGGAGCAGTGAAGAAAGAATTTTCAACCTAGAAACCATCCTTATAAAGCATCATGGGGTATTTTTCCTAACTTGGCTAATTTTACTTTTTAAAGTATTTATCTAGGCATTTCTTCAGAGAGGATACACCAATAGCCAACAAGCACATGAAAAGATACTCAACATCA